AACTACAATCCCAGAGACGCACGGTTCGAATCCACCAGATGCTCTGCCGGGGAAGGAGGGACAATCTCCTCCTGTACCAGTCAGATCTGATTTGACGGTACACGCACAAAAAAATTAAAAATAAAAAAAAAAAAGGAAAAAGATATTTATTTGCAGCATCATTACCATGTGAGGGGGATGACCAAAGCAGTATTTAATGTGATAGATTCACACAGGTTTTATTATAACAGATATCCAAGTGTAAAGAAACATTACAAGTGGCCAGGACCTCAGTCCACCCATCATTTATGATGGGATGACTTTAACTGTTAACTCTAAGATGTGAATGTTCTGATAGGTAAACCTTTAGCAGTGAAATCTAATTTCACTTTTCTTTCAATGCATGAATCTGCTTTGTATTTTTAAACAGCACAGAAATTCTCAAGAACAACCCTTTAACCTCCATCTTCAAACACATTCATTTATATTCTTTTAGAACTATAAATTGTTAGTACTAAAAGTCATGTCAGAAAATCTGTTTTGATTTCCTGTTTTCCAAATGGTGAAGGTGAGATCTGAAATAGTGACTTTCCTGAGGTTAATGCTTTATTCCATGTGAACTGCTTTAATCAAGTCCCAGATCCTGATGGTTACTGTGTGTGTCTCATCACTAAAATGCCTAGGCCTAGAGCATATAGGTTTTTCAGACTTTTTTTTTAAAGGATCAGATTTAAAGGTCTGAAACTGGGGGACTCCCCAAGATAGTCACCCTAAAACAATCTTCTAACTTGAAATGGAAGATAAGCTCACCTTCCAGGCAAATAACAGCTGGACTACGAAAATAACTAATACATGTGAAGATGTAGTTCTTAAAAGAATCAACCAGTTTACAGACTCCTACAGGTCCTACACAAGAAAATGACTGATAACACCATTACAAAATTGGCAAAAGACATAGAATTTTCACAGAGGAAGATATTTGAATGGCAAACAGACACATGAATAAATGCTCAAAATCACTGTTAATAAGAGAGATGTGAAAAAAAAATTAAAAAAAAAGATACGAATCAAAACCACAATGAGCTACAATTTCATTCCAGTAGCAGTGGCAAAGTTTAACAGGACAACAAGTAATAAATGTTGGCGTGGATGTGGCAAGATAGGAGCATTGTTGGTGTGACTGTAAAATGGTACAATCACTCTGGAAAGCAGTTTGGCACTTCCTCAGAAAGCTGCGCACAGAAATTCCATATGACCAGCTATTCTACCTCTTGGAATATACCCCAAGAAAATGAGAACTGAGGCACAAAGACTTGAATACCAATGCTCACAGCAGCATTATTCACCATTGCAAGAACATGCAAACAGCCCAAATGTCCAACCACATCGTATGGGTTGAGAAATTATTGTACATTCACGTGATGGAATACTATGCAGCATACAGGAGCAATGATTTTGTATTAAATTACTACCAAAATTGGGAGAGACTGGAGAACGTTATGCTAAGTGAACTCAGTCTTATAAGGACAAATACTGTATTAAGACCATTACTGTAGAACAAGTAAGGGTATCCAAGAGTGGGAGGGTCAAAGCAGAGGGGTGAGGATGGGTGTGTGGGGGAAGGATGCCTTAATCAGAGTCACACGATTTGATGGGTGTAGGTGGGGGGTGTGAAGGAAGTGAGAAAAATCCAGTGTGAAAAACAATGTATCTGAGCTTTGTAAATAAACCACTGTAAAATAAAATAATAATTAAAAAAGGAATCAACCAAAGGGGTAATGCCTGTGAAAAACCAAAGATGAGAAGGCAGAAAATAAGGAAATGGGACAAATGGAAAAAAGAAACCCAGGGAGGAATGGGGAAAGTATTCACACTCGTCAAAGACTGCAACCAACACAATGGGCAATGTATGTATGAATCATCAATTAGAAAATGCTCAGCTCCTCAGTCCACACTCTTGGCACCAGCAGTCAGGAAATCAAAAGGAGAATTGCATTAGTTAATCTGCTGTCAAGGATCTTTCCAGAGTACTGAGTAGCAACAATGTCAGTCTAGAAACTAAGGTGCACCTGATCTTGTCCATGGTCTTCACAATTATTTGCTATGTATCAGACAGCTAGATAATTACTAAGGATGACAGCACAAGAATTGATGCCTTTGAGCTGTGGTGCTGAAAAAAAGTCTTGATCATACCATTGACTGCCAAGAAAACAAACAGGTCAGTCTTTGAGAGCGTGAAACCAAGTTTCTCCTTGGAGCCTAAGATTTTGAAGATCTGTCTCACTAACTTTGGGCATGTAGCCAGGAAGGACCGATCCTTGGAGAAAGATATCATGCTCAAAAGGGTGGAGGGAAAGAGCAGAAGACGAAGACTCTGGACGAGATGGACTGATACAGTAACTAAGGTAATGAGGGTAAGGGTACTGGAGTCAGTGAGACTGGCTCAGGACAGGATAGGCTTCAGAAATAATGTACATAGGGTTGCTAGGAGTCACAGGCAACTTGACAGCACATAACAACAAAACATGTAAATTTTTATCTAAACCATAATTGTTGTTTGTGGAATCAACTCATAGCTGACCCTTCAGTGGGTTTTCTGATGCATTTATTGCAAATAGCAATAAATATTTAAATAAAAAATGCTACAAAAATATTAAGAGCTGATTCAAAAGAATACAGGCAATGAGGGCGCTCTGGTGGCCTAGTGGCAAGAACCTGCACTGCAATCCCAGAGGTATTCAGTTCAAATCTACCAGATGCTCTTCTGGAGAAGGAGGGGCAATCTCCTCCTGTACAAGTCAGATCCAATTTGACGGTACACACACAAAAAATAATAAAATTAAAAAATTTTAAAAAAGAATACAGGCAATAACTTGATGATTTTCACTGATCAAAGAAGGGATAAATTAAGCACTAATTTTAAAGAGATAGAAAAGCACATTAAAAAACTACAAAGTTCACAGAAAGTGAAACACTGATTGCCTCTATACTTACTGGGTCATCAACTTAAAATTTTAAAAACTAAATGAAGAGAAAGAAGTATATTTTCTTTCTTTTCCTCTACCACTTACAGAAAATTATACTATAGCTCTATCCAGAGTTCATTCCTTTATAGAATATCTAGGAGTTGTGTTTGCTTGTTTGGAAGGCAAGACAAATACAGAAAATCATCAAATGATAACCTTTATGAAATTATGATTGAGTAGCAGTGGTTACTAAAACCATCAGACAAAAACTCAACTGGAAGGTCTTACACAATCAAGCTGGTAATACTTGAACCCATCATTAAAAGGTAGAGAAAGTACAACCAAGGTGCTCCGTAGAGGCAAAGACGACAAAGCTTTGCCTCCAAGTTTTTGGAGGTAGTGTTAGGAAAAGTCAGTCCTTGGAAAAGGACCTCATGCTTGAAAAGGTAGGGCAGTCAACAAAAGAAGACCTTCAACAAGTAACATAATGGGCTCAATTATATCAAAGATGATAAGATGGCACAGGATAGGGCAAGCTTCACAGTCGCTGTGAGTTACAGTCAACAAAACTTAAGAAGCCCTAATAATGGGATAAAGCTGTATTGTTGTTAAATGCCATGGTCTACAACTCACAGAGACCCTTTGAACAATAGATCTAAACTTTGCACTGTCTATGACATCCTGACCATCTCTGATATACTTAAGCCCATTGTTACAGTCACTGTATCAATCTACCCATTTGAGAGGAAAAACTAAAGATATCACAAGACTAAGATACACCTGATTCAAATCAGACTTAAACATTTAAGTCATTTTTGGTCTTCTCCCATGCTGTAAAAGCTGGGCAACAAATAAGTAAGACCAATGAACTGATGCCTCTGAATTATGATATCTAAGAATATAAAGAAACATGGATTGGCAGGAGAATGAAGAAATCAATCTTAGAAAAAGTATAACCAGAATGCTTAGAAGTGAGTATGTAAAGATTAAAGAATTGATGCCTTTAATGTGTTGTGTTGGTGAAGAATATTAAATAATACCATGGATTGACAAATAGCAAATGGATGAACAGACACTATGGCACATCTACACAATAGCACATTATACAAAACTGAAAAACAATTAAGAATTAATTAAATAGTGCATACCACAGATGCATCTAGAGAACATTATGCAAAGTAAAATAAGTCAGTTACAAAATGACTAGTATGACATTATATAGTGTGACACTATTATAAAAACTAATGAAGGGTTTACATACAGAATCATTCTTTGATGAGTAACAAGGATTAGGAAGGAAGGGAGAGGGGAGTAAAAACAAATGGATAAGCCAGATGAAGGGAAAGGAAATGTATAAGAAAGGGTTGATCAAACATTTTCATTAACTCGCTACATTACTAAATCATAATTAATGTTATAAAACAAAATAAGTATGGAAAAATTGTGCTGTATAACTTTTCCCTCCAAGGAGGGGAGCAGGGGTTTAAAAATACCCCAGGGATGCTCTGTGGATTTCTTGGTTGGTTGAAGAGACTGATGCCTGTGGGAGGGAGCACAGCCCTTTGAGTCACGGATGCTCCACATTGAAAACCACTCCCATACCTCATCCTATGCATTTCTTCACTTGTAAACTGTTTTTTCTGCTCTAATAAAACTGTAATCTGCTCCCACCACAAGCAAACGGTTTTAAAAATCTTATGAGAATAAAACATGATTCAAAGAAATCCAAGCAGCAGAATGATAAAAATATATGCAGCAAATACTTTGACATACAGTCTTTCTTTACAAAGAAATTTCTTCCCCCTCACAGCAACTAGAACTCCAAATCACTAAAGATATAATGTCATCTAAATACCCACCTTCAAAAGAAAGCACTAAAAAAAAAAAAGAAAAAGAAAGCACTAGATAACTCAGTTGGATGTCAGCCTAACAAGTTTTGATTCTGGATTAAAAAAAAAAATTTAAACATAAATATATACTCCAAATACAATATTTTAAAATGTCACAAGTACATAATTATATTGTGCTACTATAAATATTTTATTAGAAACTTACAAAATAGCAGGACTGAAGAACAAGCTCGTTTCATTATCATCTTCTTGAAACACTGAATTTATTTTCTTTCCAGTAGCTTTGCTTATAGATGTCTTAAGTTTCTTAGCCAGCTTTTTTGGTGTGTTCATTATAGAAGATTCTTCTGTACAGCAACTATATACTTCCACCTTTATCTGAAAATCTGGCCCTGCTTCATTACTAAAAACAAGGGAATTCATAATGTGAGTCATTTAACTCAGGAGAAAAAAAGAATATTATATCTTTTGATGTTTTCATAACATTTAAAACAAGTATCTGAAATAAGCTTCTATTAATGTACGCTAATGGAACAGAATCTCCCTTTGTTTATAAAATATAAAATAGTCTGAGCCACTGCAGCTTCTAGAGAAATCAGCTTCAAACTAGGACACGCTAGACTAACTATAACCAACGTACACAGGAATATTAATTAGAGGAAAATTAGGATGAAATGGTCGGGTCATCTTGTTACCAATGTCATTTCTCCTTGTAACTCTTTTAATAGCATCACTTTTGAGATGTTTACATTATATGTGTGATTTCCTGAAATAAATTGTCTTCTAAACTAAAATCTGCTAGAGCCTTTAGTTCTCATTTCTTCTTCATAAAAACTCATTTATGTTCACTCATAACTTGCCCCGAGCATCTACCACACTTTCGTACCAAATAACTATAAAGAGAATTTCATGACTTAGTAATATAGTGAAAAAACATTAGCAAGGCCTATTTATTTCAAGGCATGAACTCCTTGTGGCAAAGGCTGCCTTGGTGATCTGAATTCTTAACCTAGCACGTGTCTACAAGCTAGAAGATACTTAATACAAATTTATTAAATCAATATGCAGAAATTCTGCCATTTTAGCAAACATTAAATTGGCTTTGTCCTTTTCCAGACACAGTGAACTATCTTTACCATTGAAGACTGTGGCGTTGTTACTAACAATAAAATACACTTAAGACCACAAAAGAGATCCATCAGCAGCAGATGTTGCCTACAGACAGAAGATCCATCAGCCTCAAAGATTTAAAAAATGCAGCATGGACTTTTTAAGATTTAAATGGACAATCTATACTTTGGATAAATCCAAGAAATAACTTCCAGATATTTTTATAGTTTACTATTTGGCAACTTTTAAATATACAGTATTTGTGGTAATGACTACCAAATGTCAATATTTAGAGGAAAAGCAGAGATTCATAAATATTGAATACTCATTAAAAGAAACAATCATCATAACAAAAAGCACATTTTTAAACATTTAAAACATTTGTCAGCAGTTATTTTTAAAACAATTTAAAATATTTACAGAATATTTTTAAAATTATAAATCATGTGTTGTCTTCTGAGGTAATATGCATCATTCTGTCCCTGAAAAAGACTCTTAATTTTTGTCTTTGTGGTAAAGACAAATAACAAGTGGCATGAAGAAAAAAGCTCATTAACAGGATGATTTTGGTGGAAAAAAATTAATTTGTAGTGGTTAATAATGGAAAATATTGTAGTCAGATAATTAAGGAAAATGTCTTGTTCCAAAGTCTCAATTATCTAATAATTTGGGGGCTATTTTAGGGAGCCTAAACTAAACTTCTCTGGTACAACTTGTAAATAAGGAGGTCTACAATACTATTCATAACATAGAACAATGCATCTTATTTTTTCTGTGCTATACTATTACTATGGGACACTAGACAGGAGCCATAAAATATGGTTTACAATAGTTTGGGGTGGGGTTTTTTTAATATTATATGAGTAGAAAAACTAGTACTGTTAAATCAAAACTGTGTATCTCTACTGCTAAAGATGACAAAAGACATGTACATTGATTTTTATCTTAACAGTTCAGTAGCTATTAGTATCTACAGTTGAAGATAATGACTTTGAAAGCGTGAAAAACATACAAATCACAAATTCATTTTAGGCCAACAGGACCTTTGAAAGAAGCCAGGAAGAACTTATGTTAGTTAAAAATGATTTCTATGGCCATCTGAGGAATTCTTTCTGGTTCTGTATTATGACCACAATAAAATGAGCCTGTAAAAGAGCAGGAGCAATAAAAACAGCCCTGAGGATCACCCAATTTTTTATTGTTTTCGAGTACATGAAAGGACTGTACTATAAGAAATAAGAACACACGGAAATTTTACTAAAGTGCTCTTTCTATGGTACATGAGGCATTCCTACATTATAAATGAAGTTGTTATACTATTTTAGTATTCGGTAACTAAATCTCCAATGTAAGATGAAAGAATCTGTTCACGCTTATATTCACTCTGCATTAAATAATGTTCTATAGTGAAGTTCCCATTATATTTATAGCCTAGGTAAGAATGAACTATAAATCTTCATAAAATTTATGAACATTTATTATACCCAATGAGTCAAATTTTACTACTCATTTAATTACAAGATTACTATTTTATTTTATATAGGAACATTTCAAGTGTAGAAATAGGCCTTTTAAAAAACCCAATTTGTAAAAAAATCACTTCAAACATGGAAGATGTTAATGCTTCCAAAATAATACTAAACTCTGTAGAATTTTAGATCCTTTTCATTCTTTAAAGAGTCATACTTACAATATAGTTATATTTTCAAAGCATATATCTGTGATTGTTTTATCCACAATCACCATGTCTGTATCAAAAACTTCAGCTCCCATCTTGAATAAACAAAAAATAGCATAGCGCTGTGATCCTAGGGAAGAAAAACATCTTAAGCAAAAACCCATGTGATAGCCTATGCCTATGTTATGTTCAAATCTACTTGAACATGAAAAAAAATTAGTTTAAATATTTAATGAGTTCTCACTTTCACCTTATGTGCCTTGCAACTCAATTATTTTATGACTGCTCAGTCAACAGATAGTAGTAGTACTTTATCCAACTAAGACACAATTCAAGTAGGGAGTATCAAAAAGTAAACTAAAAATATAATCCTTTCAGCAACCAAAGGAAACCACCAAACTCAAACATATTTATTAGAAAATATCTAAAACTTTAGATAATAGCAAATGTAGTATTATAGATATACTATTATTTTTCTTATTTTGTTTTCTACTTAATAAAAGTAGTTTTCTTTTAGAAGAGGTTAAGAACAGATAGAGCAAAACAATTTCACCAAACGAAACGCAAGAAAGAAAACCACAAAAAACAATAAATGTAGACATGGGAACATAAAAAAACATAGCTGCTGGGCCCTTTAATATGGTAATGTTTTTAAAAGTAATAGGTAATTAAAGAGCTAAATCCTCATTATAGAGAAAATGCAGCTCTAGAAAAACTTATTCTTTATAGTAATCAGAAAGATGTACTTTATTCCCACAAGTAATCCTTTTTAAAGTAAATTATATTTCTTAATTGAATAACAAATATACTAAATTGATTTTGTATTCTTCATATAAAACTAATTATGCTCAATATGATTCAGTTTTGAAAGTAAGAGGAACAAAGCTATCACAATAGACAAGAAAGATAAAGGATTTTCATATCTTTTCTGCTTTGCTGCTAACAGCTAGAAATAATTTGAGGTTAATTTCCATGACCTAAACAATACATGGATTTGTAAAGACTATAAAGCCATAAAATTCTAAAGGGGGGGGGAATCTTTCTCACATTCTCTTAAATAATATAAAGAAACAAAATAAGGCTGAAAAAGATTTCCTAGATTCTGGTCAAATAAAGAAGTTTTACCTTTATTCCTTTAATTTTATTTTGTTCTCCATTCCTCCCCACCCCCATATCTTTATTCTGGTTACTTACTGTCCTTGTACAGTTTCCTATCAACAAATGAAAATACACTAAAAAGAAATCCACTCCTGATGATTCCCTTCTGCCTCACATATTCCAAGGCTGTAAATTAGCATTCTGTTTTGCTTATCAGGATATGCTAACTGAAAGGTTGACGGTTCAAATTCACCAGTAAGTGTGGAAAACTGATAGCACAGCCTCATTTTATAAAGATTTATAGCCTCAGAAACCTGATGGAGGGTTGACAACAAGTTTAGGTTCTCTGGACTCTATAGAAATTGGCTGCTACATTGTTTCTCCTTGCCTATGGGGTTCAAACTGCCTACTTTTTTTTGGTTAAAGTCCAAGCATTTAACCACCAGACCTCCAAAAATATACTCGTTGTTTTTGTTAGATGTTGTCGAGTACAACTCACAGCAACTCTATAAACAGCCAACCTGAACCCAACCCTAATTATTTCAATCAACTTAAGCAATTACAACATAATTATACTAAAAAATAATCTAAAAACTCTGCTCTGCAAGATTCTGCTAATTCTATCAAATGGCATCAATTTTTTTCCAGTGTATAAAGTCTTTCTACCCCCAAATAATCATCAATTTATTATATACTATAGAAAATAATTCAACTGCAAATTAAAATGATACATACGTTCCTTATTGCTAAAGTGCTCAGAGTCTTTCCACATTAATGGTATTCGGATATCTAAAGAAGATAAAGAAAGAAAGACACGTACAATTTTTTAGAAAAAACTTTACTTCTTAGTATGTATGACACGATTGTATAAATTCCACAATGGCTTCTGATAATCCTATAACGGATTTGCAATGTAAAATGAGTCATATTTATTTTACAATTATCATGAAAACAAAATTAAATTCTCTGTAATAAAGTTATACCATAGCATTCTAATTTTTTGTGATCTACATTTTTAAAAACAGGAGAATTACAGTCAATCCAGCTTGGTAAACTTCTGTTTTGGGTAAGAAGTCATAGCAACTATATTTAAATACATTTTTAAATCACAGCCTAGTAGATGGAGAAATAGCTTGAAAACTTTTATATAATATGCAAACTTCTACAAAAATAAATGATCAATGGTTTTTTAATAGAGACCTAGCTCTTGAAAAAAAGACCCAAAATTTCTCTGTAGGATTTGTCTACAAAAAAAATTTGTTGTTAAGTGCTGCTGATAAGTGCAACCCTATGTACAGGAGTTCTGAACCCTGCCCTCTTCTGAGCCAGTCTCACTAATTCCTACACACCAATCCCCAATGCCCTAGTCACTGAACCAATTCATCTCATTCAGGGTCTTCCTCTCCTGTACTGTCCATCCACCCTTCCAAGCATAATGTCTTTCTCCAAGGACAGGTCTCTCCTGGCCATGTTACTAAAGTACGTGATACAGAGCTTCAAAATCCTAGCCTCCAAGGAGAAACTTGGTTTCATCCTCTTCAAGACAGACCTATTTGTTTTCTTGGCAGGCCAATGTATGTTCAAGACTCTTCTCTAGCACTAAATTCAAAGGCATCTATTCTTTTTGTTATCCTTAGTCATTATCCAGCTCTCAGATTCAAAGCAAGTAATGACGAAAACTATGGCCTGGATTAGGCACACTTTAGTCTCTAGACTGATATACTGCTTTTCAGCACTCTGGAGAGGAAGGCTCCTGACAGCAGATTTTCCCAGTGCAGTTTGTCTTTTGATTTCCTGACTGCTGGTGCCAAGAGTGTTGACTGTGGAACTAAGCAAGCTATCATTGTTAACAACTTCAATTTCTATTTATCATAGTGCTGCCAACTGGCCCAGTGGTGAGAATTTTTGTCTTCTTGATGTTAAGCTTCAATCCTTATTAAAGACTACAGTCGTTGATGCTCTGCAGCAAGTACTTCAGGTCCTCCTCAGTTTCCAGAAGCAAGGTTGTGTCATCTGCATAATGTAGGTTGTTGATGAGTATTCTTCCAATCATGATGCCACATTTGTTCTCATAAAGCTGTTTCCCGAATGATCTGTTCTACATATAGATTGAAAAGGTATGGAGACAAGATGCATTCCTGACACACTCCTTTACTGATTTTGAACTATGCAGTGCTTCCGTGCTCTGTTATGAGGACTGATTCCTGGTCCAAGTACAGGTTTCACATAAGCACAATCAAGTGTTCTGGGATTCCCATTTTCTTCAAGGTTAGCCACAATTTGTTGTGATCCACACAGTCAAATATCTTTGCATAATCAATGAAACACAGATAGACATCCCTCTGTATTCTTTGCTTTCTGCCAAGATCCATCTGACATAGGCAATAATGTCTCTACTGCCATGACCTCTTCTAAACTGTTCTAATTATTTCTGGATAATCTTCAGTAGGATTTTACTAGTGTGTGATTTTAGTGACATTGTTCGATAATTTCCACACTCTGTTGGGTCACCTTTTATTAGGATGGGAATAAATATGGATCGCCTCCAGTCAGTTGGCCAGGTAGTTGTCCTCCAGATTTCTTGGCACAACCTGGTGAGCACATCCAGAGTAGCATCTGTTTGTTGAAATACGTCAATTGGTATACTATCAATTCCTGGAGCGTTCTTTTTTCCAAGTCCTTCAAAGCAGCCTAAACATCCTCCTTCATCACCATTGCCTCTTGATCATATGATATTTCTTGAAATTCTTCTGTGTGCCAAATCTTTTCGGTAAAATGACTCTGTATACTTTTTCCATTTTCTTTTAATGCTTTCTGAATCACACAATACATTCATGTGTATTTCCCATAAGAAATAAAACTAGAAATAATATATTACTTGGCATGGGCAACAGACAGATATGCTACAGAGTGATTTGAACATACATTCACCTTCTTTAAATGTTAAAGTAACTATGCTAGTGATTCTTATTCTAGAAATTAATCTAAAGCATTGACATTTTTTAATTTTAATTTCATATTTTCTTCCACTATTCCTCGCCTTAAGTTTGTATTGGTGTAAACCATATATAACAAAATATTTGCCATTTTAATAACTTTTAAATGCACTATTAGATGATATTATTTACATTCACCATACTGTACAATCATTACTGCGATCTACTTCCAAAAGTTTTCCATTTGCCCAAACACAAACAGTACTCCTTAACAAGAATTCTCCTTAACCCCTGGAATAATAAACTCAAGTCTCTGCACATTTGCCTATACGCAGTATTTCACAAAAGTGAGATCGCTTAGCATTTCTCCTTTTGTGTCTGACTTAGTCCACTCAGCATAATATTTTCACAGTTCATTTATATTATAGGTAGCATTGGAACTGCATTTTTCAAACTAGCTGGATATTATTTCATCACATGTCTCATTTTGTTCATTCACTCATCTGTTGACGGAAACTTAGGTCATTTCTTCTCTCTGCGTATTGTAAATAATACCCCAAATTTACTCTTAATGCTAAATAACAGTAATAACAGTTTTCTTATGATATCGTCTGAAACGTGGTAGGAATTGAATTGTGCCCCTGTCCCAGATGAGATGGAATGACCTGGTAACTGGGATACGGGATTAGGTGCGTCGGGAGTCAGAGAGACTGGCTCAAGACAGGGCAGGGTTCAGAGCTATTGTATATAGGGTAGCTATGAGTTGCAGGTGACTCGATGGCACACAACAACAAAATACATGTTGTAAATCCTAACCTCTACAGGTATGGTTATAATCCCATTTCAGAATGAGCCATCTTTATTGTACTAATGAGGACTAGTGTAGCTTGTATCTTTTGAAATTAAAATTAAAAAGAGATTAAGAAAAGTATAAAGATCCAGTGTGAAAAACAATGTATATGAAGAACTTTGTAAGTAAACCAGTATAAAGTAAAAGACTAAACAAGATACAAAGAAGAGAGATTGGAGAAGAGAAATGCCAAGCTATGTACAGACATAAGGACACACCTCCAGTACTTTGACAAACAGAGAAAACTATCCCTTGTAGCCAGTACCTGGAATTTTTATTTTATATATTAATGTTTGTGAAAGAGAAACATTCATGATGTTTCTGTTATGGTAATACATCTATGTATATAACATATTTTTAAAGTTAGACGATTAAGACAGTACCAAATAGACTGCTGTTGTTGTTGCGTGCACTGAGTCGGAACCAACTGATAGCTGTCTCTCCACTGGGTTTTCAGAGGCAAACATACGGGATGAGACTGTCTATTCTTCTCCCATGGAACAGCCGATAAGATTTAAACTGGGTGCCTTTGGAATTGCAGCACTGCTTCTTACCCCTAGGCCACTAGCACTTTGTACCAAATAGATTAAGATGTATGAATTAAAGTTTAACACAGCACAATCAAACAATTTCAGCAGACAAGTGAAACTAGTTTTAATTGTCCAGGGAGCAATTTCAGCAAAGAAAACGACAGGACTCACAATGGTCCAAGAGATTACAGGGCTACTGTAGAACAGGGCAGGGTTTCATTGTATTTTACAAGGGCTCGCTATTTAACAACAAATTACAAATAATGCAAACTGGCCTTTCAATTTCTTTATGAAAAATGTATATGAGTTTATAGGCAAATTTTTCATACCACTTTCAATTAACTACAAATCTTTATAAACTTAATTGTTCAGCTTGATGTATATGTTTCACTTTTACATCAGGTGATACTTTGCCTATTCCATTTTCTTTAAATTCCATTTTAAGGTCATTAACATATATTTCAAGTTTCCTTTTTACAAAGGTTTTACATTAGTTACACTGTCTATCACCACCTAACACAGTAGATACATCTAAGTCTCAATAAACATACTCATTGGGCTTTCCCCATGTCCAAATTAAGCATTTTACATACAGAAACCTAATTCAATAATAATGGAAATTTTAAAAGTGCACTTATTTTTTCATATATTTCATATCCAGGTATCAGGACTTAATTGTTAGCATATATTTTCTTGATTAAAAGATGTTAGTAAACTTATTGGCAATTTGGTAAATCTATTCATATCTGTGATCTATTTTTCTAATAAAGATATTTTTTTTGAGTTGGAGGAGCTCTTTATTTCGTAAAGATAGTCTTGCTTTATCATACAACTAAAAAAAATTGTTGCTCCCTTTTATATTTTATCTACATTTAAAAAAATAATCTTTTTCATTATTTCATGTTTCTAAAGTCTTGATAGTGACAGGTAAATTACTATGCATTTGTTATTTTTTTCAAGACCTAGTCTATACTTTTAAAATGTACATGAAAAAAATCTGGGTCTTAAAGTGAGAATACAAATCTCATAAAAATAACTGTTCCAGCACCATTTCTAGATCAAAAAGACCTTCTCTTTGAATGACGATTCAATCTCTATCATGTGTGACATTCTGGATTTCTATTGCTTGGCTATGTGGGTCTGTTTGTTGCTGCTGTTGTTGACTGCTGTCGAATCGAGCACAACTCATAGCAAGCCTAAGACTTTTGATAACTATCATTTCTCACAGTTCATAATTTCCAGAGGCATGCTGTTTAGGAAGCAGACGCCACTGCTGCTAGTAAATAATTTACTGATAGTTATTTTACCTTTATAATGATATACCTTAATATCTACTTTTGAAAGGTCTTTCAAAAATATCTTATTCCCACTTGGTGCATATGGAGCTGTGCTGCTATTCTCTCTAGCAGTTGGAATATACGAGCTAATCTGAGGGAAAAAGATGGACAATCTCTTGTGTGATTTATATCCTTG